GGCCTTTCCACAGTATTCCATTTAATCTTTTTTTTTTTAAAGATTTATTTATACAAAGATTTATTTATTTATACAAGCACTGGGTACAGTCAGAAGCACGGGAGGGTGAGAGAATTCACCAGAGCCAGAGCGGGGAGCAGAGCAGGCAGAAGGATCGAGGTACACTGCTGAGGGGAGCAGCGGGCGGCAGGAGAGGTCTGCGCGCCATGCGGGACCCTCCTCTGGTGGCCGGGGAGCAGCCGGGGATTGAACCAGCGCTGCAGAGGCCACGGGCAGCTTCACAACCCAGCGCTCAACCACTGCGCCACCGGGGAGGCCCCATTTAATCTTTACAGTAACTCTAGGTAGGCATTATCGGCCCATTTTATGAAGAGAAAATGGAGGTTTGGAGTGGTTAAATGACCTGTACAAGGTCACAGTCGTAAGTGGCAGAACTGAGGCTCAGAACCTGGTTGCCTGACTCCTAATAAGAATGGGTTGATTACTCTGGGATCCCCATGTCACCCACTGGGGCCACACGGTGCACTGATGAATAAGGGACTAGCAAATTCTATAAGATTTTGTATTGTTGCTTCCTCCAGGGAGCCTTCCTTGGTTCTACCACTGGGCAAGGCCTCTGCTTTTTGTTCCCATGTCCTGTGCTCCTCCCACCAGAGTGTATCATATTATGACTGTCCGTTTTCTTATCTCTTCAACTAGATTGTGAACCTCAAGAGGACAGGGTTCCTGTTGGCTTATTCATCACTGTATACCTGGTGCCCTCCTCAGTGTCTGGCATATAAAGGTTCCCCACAGGATCTTTGTTGAATGAATAAGAGAATGAATGAATGACTTCATGCATTTACTTGCGCTAAGGCCTGGAGACTGGAGCAAACACCTCTGCCTAACCTCCACCCCGTTCCTTGCAGGGAGTGTTCAGAATGCCTTGGAGGCGGGGGTAGGAGCACCCGAACTGTCTCTGAGTCCTTTCCCCATCTGTCTTTAGGTATACGGGGCGTCCAACGTGGAGCTCATCACCAGGACACGGACAGAGCACCTTTCCGAACAGCACAAGGGCAAGGTCAAAGGTAATGAAGCAGAGGCAGATGGGGGAAGTATTGCAAGACTCAAGAAACCAGCTCCCCACTGAGTGTCTCCATCAGTATTCCCTCTGGCGCCCTAGCAAATGCCAGGAGAGTTTATTGAGGCAAATAGGTTTCAATTCAAATACCAAGTCCTAATGGACTGGTAGCGACTGCCTGGAGTGCGACTACGAAGAGTCTAAGGTAATATTTGGGCTCAATGGGAAGGAATGCTACAAGTCATTACTAATGTTTAATTTGGAATTGGGAGGGACGAGAAATGTTAAGTATGCTACTAATTGGCCATTCTAGTCTAGTGGGATGTACTCTAGGCAGAAAGTCAGGGGGCTCTGCCTCCGGTTTTCTGTGTCCATTGATATACAACCTGACTCTGGGTATTAGTCTGTCTGAAGTAGAAACTCCTACCCCCGGGGGTGGGGGGGACAAAAGGAAGTCATTAGTATGGAAATACCTGCAGGAAAGCATCCACACCCATGTGCACAGCTAACCATGTGCACATTCACACCAAGTATTTTTTTGTCCAGCGTCATCAATCTGGAGAGTGATAATTTTGGAATTTTCTCCTGACTCCAAGGCCTATTTTTATTCCAGGACCACTTCTAGTGGTCCTGGCCCCTGCCCTTTGGAGTCCTCAATCACTTGCAGAGGAAGGTGCTGAGTATGTGGTGTGGGGGAGTGCTACCTGTCTGCAGGTACTGGCTTCCTCTCTAGGTCTGGGCTGCTGTCACTCCTGAGGGTTGCGGTATCCTCTGAGGTACTGTATTTCTTGTAGGATGTAAGACACCTCTTCAGTCCTTCCTGGGAATTGCTGAGCAGCATGGGGGCCCCCAAAATGGGGTGAGTCTATGCCAGGGGCACCCCTGTGTAGAGGGATGTGGATATGGCTCAGGAGGAGGCCTGGGAGGCATCCTGCTTGGAATGGCCGACTCAGACCTACTTTGCACAGTGCCCAAGGCCATGCCAGCTCCACAGTGGCCAGGGGGGAGAGGAGAGCTCAGGGACCCATGATACCAAGTGTCTGGCCTGGCATCAGGGACTGAGAAGGGCTCGTGGGTCCCTCCCTGTGTGGTACAGACCCTGATCACTCAGACTCTGAGCCAAGCCAACCCTACTGCCATCACCGCAGAAGAATACTTCAACCCCAACTTTGAGCTTGGCAACCGTGACATGGGCCGCCCGATGGAACTTACCACCAAGACACAGAAGTGAGCCCCCCTGCCGGTGCTGGGAAGGGGTGGGCAGGGCTAGGCTGGGCTGGGCTGGGCAGGGCATCCAGACGATGCTGGAAGGTCATGGTGTCCACAATGTCCCTCATCCTTTGGGATCTGGGGGGGCAGGTTCAAGGCCAAGCTGTGGCTGTGTGAGGAGCATCCCCTGTCCCTGTGTGAGCAGGTGGCCCCCATCATTGACCTCATGGCTGTCAGCAATGCGCTTTTCGCTAAGCTCCGGGACTTCATTACCCTGCGCCTGCCTCCTGGCTTCCCTGTCAAGATTGGTGAGGCTCCAACCCCGTGCCCCTCAGTCTCTGTTTGGGATTGGGGTTTCAGTGAGGTTAAACAGGGGGGGTGAGATACATGGGGTGAATGATGGCACCTGCGGTTTTGTCATCCTCAGAAATCCCTATCTTCCACATCCTCAACGCTCGTATCACCTTCGGGAACCTCAATGGCTGTGACGAACCGGTGCCATCCGTGCGAGGCAGCCCAAGCAGCGAGACCCCTTCCCCAGGCAGCGACTCTTCCAGTGTCAGCAGCTCCAGTTCCACGAGTGAGCACCTGTCCCTCCCTTCCCCTCCCCAGCAGAGCCCCTTCCCAGGGCATCAGGGGAGGGCTGGGTCTGGCCTACACACTGATGCCCAGCTCTGTGCCCTCAGCCTCCTGCCGCGGCTGCGAGATCTCCCCGGCCTTGTTTGAGGCCCCACGTGGCTACAGCGTGCTGGGTGGTCAGAGGGAGGCGGCCACTCGTGATGACGATGACGACCTGCTGCAGTTTGCCATCCAGCAGAGCCTTCTTGAGGCGGGCAGTGAGTACGACCAGGTGCGTCCCACAGCTGTGCCAGGCCATGGGACTGTGGCAGCACCGCCATAGCTCACTGGCCCATGTTCTCTCCCTCCAGGTCACCATCTGGGAGGCCTTAACTAACAGCAAGCCAGGCACTCACCCCATGTCCTACGAGAGTCACCAACAGGACAGGTCAGTGCCGACCAGTCCTGAGAGGGTTTGGAGACGCCTTCCCCCCAATACACATGCACAGAATACCCCAGTACCCTGTCACCCTGGGCGAGGACACTGTAGGCTGAGCAGCCCCTATTGACCTAGAGAAACTGTGGTACCTCACCAGGGACCCTACACTACCAAGGTGGCTTCTACCATCACCCTTTCCTGGCAGTGGAGTGGGCCGTACCTGGGTGGGCCGGCAGTATTCCAGCTGTGGTCAGGGAGTGGGGTTCAGACCTCATGGCTTTCAAACCCTCACCATTTAGGAGGTTGGGGCAGGGGTTCTAGAAGATGCAAATGCTCTGGGCTGCCACCAAGAGGGAGACAGGGAGAAAGGACTCTGAAGGGCTGGGATCTGCCACAGTCGCTGCGAGGCAGGAAGGTGACTCGGGACACAATTTCCACTGGAGGGGTGGCCAGGCCTGCTGTGCCCTGGGGCCTCCGCGCCGTCTCCCTGCCTGGCTCATGGGCAGGTGCACCTGGGAGCCCGCGACGTGTCTTACCCGCCCCCAGGAGCGCTCCGCCCACGCCGCAGCGCCAGCCTGCATCCCCTGCGTCCCTGACGTCGTCGGTCTCTAGCCGAAGGCCCAGCCCGGGGCCAGGTCCAGGTGGCCACGTGTTCCAGAGCTACGACGAGCAGCTGCGCCTGGCCATGGAGCTGTCAGCACAGGAGCAGGAGGAGCGGCGGCAGCGTGTGCGCCAGGAGGAGGAGGAGCTGGAGCGCATCTTGCGGCTGTCACTGACCGAGCAGTAGCACCCACTGCCGAGCCCCTTGACCATGCCACGCCAGGCCCGCCCCGAAGTGAGATCAGCCCCAGCGGATGCGCCCACCGAGCTGCAGCTGGAAACTGGAGCGGCGGCCTCAGGGGCATAGTGGAGCAGCCGGTACCAGATGGGGAGGAGTTTGGCAAGGCTGCAGGGCACCTTTCTGGGCTAGGGCCCTGAAGGCAGCTGGCACGGCCAGATCCCCTGCTTTGCTGTATCCTGACCCTCACCCCTCACCTGGGGCTTAGACCTGTTGAAGGGTGGAGCCAGGCGGTCCTGAGGGGGAGAAGGGTCCTCAGAGGAGCAGAGTCCCATCCTTGCTCCTCCTGGCCGGCCCTCCCTTCCGCTCACTGGTCCCCCTCCAGGACACTGCCCGTGAAGCCTTTGCATCTCCCCTCTTCACTCCTGGGGCGGGGACAGCTGAGCTCCCCGCGTGCTGTGTTGCTGCTTTGTCCCAGACACAAACCAGCAAGCACGTCAAGGGCCCCCACCCCGGCATTTCAGCGTCAAGTGCACTTAGCGGGGTGCCGGGCTCCCCCAGCCCCCAACCCTCCGGGGTCTCAGGGTGGTCCCAGCTTCTTGGGCGGCCAGAGGTTGAAGTCCCCATCCCCAAGGCACGATTTTGTAATCAGGGAGGGTGTCCAAAGCCCCCCCCTCCACCCCCAGCTTGGACACAACCTGACTCCCTCATGGTGTCTTGGCAAATGAGGGGGGCATATTGGGCTGGGGGCAAGCACTAGACCCTATATATATACTGGGCACAGAGGGGTCTCCCAGGGCCTCGGCGCCACCACCCACTCCTTCCCACCAGCTGCTGCTAGCCCTCTGTGGTTGTGTGTCCCACTCACCCCTACGCAGGGGCTGACTGTAAAACCCTTCATCCAATGGTGCTAACCCCCGGCTCTCCCCGCCCTGCCCTGCCCACCCAGAGAAGCACAGACCCCGCCAGGGGCAGAGACCCACTGCACACCCTTGTCCGGGTCCTCTCAGACTGGCCTTCCTGGTTCAGCCCTGAGACTCAGAAGGGACACACAAGGAATGGAAGAAAAGACAAACTGTTCCTCTCCCCACTTCCCTGATGCCAGGGGCACCAGACTGATTCTGAGGCACAAATAAAAGAGGCTTCAAACCCGATGCTTTTCCTACCTGCTTTACTGGGGCAGACGGCTCACCTGCGGATCGGGGTTCCTTCTGAACCTGGCTGTGGGGAAGGCTCTGAGGTAGGAGGGCACCTGGTGGGTCCTAGGCCTGCAGTTGCATTTGTCAAGGCCCCCGGATGGCAGGGGGTAGCATTTTCAGAGTTTGGGGGTCTCATTACCCTCCCTCCCACCCAGGCAGGAGGTTCAGACAGATATAACTTAATAAAATATTTCATTGAGTTCATTTTGTTCCCCCCACCCCCCCAGAGTCAAGGCCACAGCAGAAGGCCAGGGGCAGTGTGTGGGTCAGGGGGTGGGGGTGGGGGTATGTGTGAACCTTCTTCCTCATGCCAGTTCTCTGGTTAGTTCTCCTGCTGGGGTGCTGTGTGGAGGCGGCCCTGTCCCCTGCGGGTTGAGAGAAGGAAGCGAGCCCTCTCCGCAGGCGGCCGGGTCCGGTCGGTCGGTCAGCCACCGACTGCCGCCAGTGAGTTGTAGGTGTCTGTAGAACTGGGGTGACGACCGTCTGGTTTACCACTTGGGGGGGTGGGATCAAGTGAGCCGATGTGGAGGGAGTGCTGTAAGATTCCCCCGCTTCTTTGGGGAAGCCCATCTAACTGCCTCCGAGTGAGGCATAAGCTCCTCGATATTCCCAAGCACCTCGCTATTACGCACCGCCCCTGCCCTGCGTTGCTGAGGCCCCAGTCACCCCAGGCCTCCCAAGGCCAGCCCCGCTGAGAACCGGATGAGGCCCCTGGCCTGGTGGGCGCCAGACCGACGTGAGTCTCAGCGACGCTCCACTTGTCCACTACTCCCGCGAGGGGGGCCTTCCCCGCCCCGTCCCGGACGGCCCGGCCCGGCCCCTACCGGGAGGCTGGTCAGGACCAAAAGCCAGGGCGGGGCTGAGTCCTGGCGCCCCGCCCACCCGGCTGAGTCCTCCGGGACCCCCCCAAGCGCAGCTAGTCGGTGCCGTCCACCAGCTCGCAGAGCATGTTCTCCAAGGCCGTGATGCGCTGCTCCTGGGCCTGCACCTGCGCGCGGAGGCCCTTGATCTCCTCCAGCAGCGTCTCCAGGGTGTGCTGCTGCGGGGGCGGGAAGGGCAGGAGAGGGGGTGTCGGCCCGGGGGCAGAAGGACGCGGCGACGGGGCGCGGGCAGAGCCCAGCCGGGTCTTACCGACAAAGGGGCATCGCTGGACGACTGGCTGCGGCGGGGCCCTGCGGGCGGGCGCGCGTCCAGGATGTTGCGCTTGGTGACGCGGAGCTCGCGGTGCTTGGGCGGCACGTAGCCCTCCCTCAGCGAGATGAGCACGGGCTCGGCGTCCTGGCCTGCCAGCCATTCGTCCGCTTCAAGAGCCGGTTCGGGACCCGGTGTATCTGGGTACAGGTCGTCCTGGAACAGGTCTGACTGTGGCGGTGAGGGAGCAGACGGACGCGTGTTGGAAGGATGCTTCTTTTCTGCTCCTTTCTGCCTCAGGGCCCTGGCCGACCCCCTCCCGGCGTCTCACCTTTCTGGGCACGGTCATGATGATGGGTTCACACTTCCTTTCGTGCAACTTGTAGAACCTGAAAGGGAGCCAGATGTAGCACCCCGTGGCCTCCCACCCCCCCTAACTTCTGTCTGGGATGGAGGGGTGAGAAACCAGCACTCACTGAGCACCCACCATGCACTGCACTTTAAACATAGTATTGGTCCAGCTCTGATGGGGCGTTTAGCATCATTGCCAGATGAGGAAAGTAAGATTCTGAAATGTCAAGTTAGCTAGTGCCAGGTGGGCACTGGAAGCGAGCCTTTTTGACCGCTCCCCCAACTCACTCTTTTCCAAAGATTACACTGCTAGGGAAGTCACTGTGTCTTCCCCCTGGGAGGCAGGGACAGAGGCAGGCAAACACAAGGGCGAAAGCTGCTGACCGGGCAATCTCACACTTGCTGACGTCCAGCCCCCGCTTAGGCATGAAGCCCATGCCCCTCTGCGGCTCCTTGCTGCTGAATGTGTTCAGGTAATGCACGAAAGGTGGCTCCTCGGTTATCTCAAAGTACCGAATGCTGCTGTCGCCCTGCAAAACCAGCGGGTTCAGAGAGGCAACCGAGGCTCTCTACATGTCTGCCCCACGCCTTGGTCTCCCCCCCCCGGCCGCCAGCACCTTGCCGCATAGGTAGACGATGCTGGAGTCAGGGTCGTAGAAGGGCAATAAAACCCCATTGCTCGTGTCCATCTCCTGGAGTGCCACGGGCTCCTCAAAGTTGTTCTGCCAGAGCATAAGAGACGTGACCAGCCCTGTCCTGCCCTCTGTGACACTTCTGGATCCACGGAAGCCCCTTGGCACTTCCTGCCCATCCCAAACCCCAAGCGTTTTCAAGCCAGTTTAGGTGAACTGAGCTGCAGGCCCTGCCCCGGAACACATGACTCATAGTCCCTGGCACCTACACCCTCTGCGCCCCTGCCCCTGCATGCAGTCACTGCAAACCACCCCCAGGGACACGGCATCACCAGGTGGGGGCACCAGCACAGGCTCCAGGTGACGCAGCGGAACTGGGCAGAGGGGTCGGTGTGGGGATGGTAAGTGCTGCAAAGGGGGCAGCAGCCTCCAGCTCTGTCCAGGTGGGTATGCCCTGCGGGTGGGGGGCTCCTCGCCCCTTTCCCGTGATGCCAGTCCCCGGGGCACACACCCCAAGCTTCCAGCTGCGTTACCGGGTCCCACAGGCCCAGCTCTCGCTGGCTCATGCGGGTGAAGCCCGTGGTGAAGATATGACCCTGGCGCGTGAAGACAGCCCGCATGGGCCTCATCCCCTCGTGGGCCGCAAACCTCTCCTGGGGGGAGGGGAGACAGGGTGAGGTGTTACCCAGCTGCCTGTTCTGGGGAGCCTGGAGGGCTGAGCAGCCAGCCAGCTTGCTGACTTGGATGTGTTGGGTGCGGAGTGGGGAGGCGAGACAAAAGAGGGCCTAAAGGTTCAGCTTCCTGGGGGGACCCGGCTGGCCCCAGGCCCGGAGAGCGTCTGAGCTGGGTGAGCGGGAGATCCACGTCTCTCAGCAGATCCCGAGCCCCTAAGCGTTCTCAGAGGCTGACTCCCCAGCGCAAAGGCTGTTTACTGGCTCCCCAGGGTTGCAGCAAGGCTTTCCCCCGACTCGACTCGCCGCTGCGCTTCAGTCCTCTCGGGTGCGGACTACAGCCTGGACAGGCGCTGACCCAGAGAAGGCGCGAGCGAGCCGCACCCGGGGCACAGCCTGGCCTACCGGGTCCCAGAGCGCGAGTTGCCGCTCACTCGTCCTGCTGAAGCCGGTGCTGAATAGCTTCCCGTCAGCGGTGAAGACGGCCCTGAGCGGGCGGGCGCCCTCGTGAGGCCGGGCACGTTCCTGCTAGCGGGGTTAGTGGGTTAGCGCCGGCTGGCGGGCCTCCTCCGCGGCAGGCATGCAAGTACCCGGGGCACTCGGCGTTAGCTTGAGGCTGGTGAGATGAACGCGGCCCCTCTCTCCCGGCACCCCGCTGGGCCCGGCCACGCAGGGTCGCCCTCTGTCCTCCACTCAGCGGTCAGCGAGGGCAGCAAGCTCCCCCCACCCCACTCCAGCATCAGGCCCCAGACCCTGGAGGTTGGCGCTGGGTGCCAGCGAGGGGAGGGGCCCAGGAGCTCACGTTTCATGCAGGTTCTGGTGGAGGACAGAGTTTACAACTTCTTCGTGGGGGTTTCTGGGATGTTGGGGGAGGGAAGAGGAGAGGGGAGAGGGCCAGAGACTTGCTTGCTGGGGGCTTCTTCAGGGCAGGGGAGCAGTGGTTGCAGATGGGTGGGGGTGGAGGACTCATCTCAGGTTGGGGTGGGGGAGGGGAGCGCTGGGACGGGTCTGGGAAACTTTGGGTCCCAGAGGTAAGGCCAGGCCGGTCACTCACCGCCACCACCTGGCCTTTGCGGGGGTCGATGATGCGCAGGGTCTTGTCCTTGCAGGTGGTGGCTAGCAGGCTACCATTGCTGTTCCAGCACACGCTGTGGATGACGTCCGGGTGCATGTCGTCCAGACTCAGGAGCACCTCCCCAGTGCCCACGTTCCAGATGATGATCATATTGTCACCACCTGCCCAGAGTGGCCAGGCACTGTCACTTGGCCTGCCTTTGCCACCCTCCACCCAGCCTGACAGTAGGGGCCGCTCCCCAGGCACCCAGACCTGCACTGAGCAGGACATTCCGGGCAGTGGGATGCCAGGAGAGGATGCCCACGCGCTTGGAGTGACCCTCCAGTGTGATGATGGGTTCCGTAATGTTGCGCACAGGGGTGTAATCTGGAATCTGCCACACCTGGGTAGGAGGAGCAGTCACAGGGTGGTGAGATGAAGGATCTGTTTGGTCCCTCCTCCCCTAATTTTCTCCCCTCTGCACCCTCCCTCCCCCACTGATTCTCTGGAGTGGCTCTGGTTACAAGCAGGGCTAGAAGTGCTGGTATCTGCTGGAGCAGAAACAGCTGAGAACCAGGAGGGGGCACTGCCAGCCCTCCAGAGCCCCCCACCCGCTTAACTCCAGCAGGGAGACTTCAGAGCACTGCCCCCCTGCTCTTCAGGCCCCAAGTTGGCCGTGGCTATAATTAGTCCTAAGCAGTGCATCTTGGGAGGGGGTGGGCAGCCGCTAAAAATAGCCCGGGAGCTGGGGAGAGCAGGGCCCTGGGATCCAGCACCTCCCTCGCCACCTTCCCTAGCACAGGTAAGGCAGCCCTTCCTGCTTCTCTGGTCTAACTTGCCCAGTAGCTGGCTCCTACCATGATGGTGGTGTCGTCAGAGGCACTGGCGATGACGTTGTCATTGTGTGGGCACCAGTCAATGTCCAGCACAGGAGCAGTGTGCCCAGTGACCAGTGGGTGGTTCTTATCCACTCGCCCTGTCTGGAGGGGTCAGAGAGGGAGTTATGGGACCAGCCTCCTGTATTTGGACTGGGTAGTGGACCTGTTTTTACATCTCAATTTTCTATCTCTTTTCTCTTTGCAGACCCCTCCCTGCACCTCCAATCCCATCCAACTTCCTGTACTTCACTGAAGGCAGACAGAGTTGCTGTAATTCAAACTCAGAGAGGAAAGATAATTTAACCAAGGGCACACAGCAAAGTGCTGGTAAAGCCAGGTCGAGTCCAGTGCTCTACCAAAACATACCCACTTTGAGGAGACTATCCTCAGAGCCCTTCCCCTAATTGGCATATCTATGGGAAGCCCCTGGAGGACGAGGTCAAGGTGAGGTGATATGCAGTAAAGTGCCCTCCAGCCCACTTCCTAGCCACCCTGGACAGACCTCTCCTTTGTCACTGCCTTTATCTTGGAGCCACCAGCAGCTGGCACCCCTGGCGCCTGCTATCCCCCAACCTGAGCAGGGGTTTTTCTATTTTTGGTCTTTATGGGCTGTTTGTGGGGACTCTGAGGCCTTGCAGGGGCTGGCATTGGCCCAAACGAGGCAGTAGGGAAAAGGGGGTAGCCTTGTGCTATTAGAATCCCAGTCATACTGGAGGAGTGCTCCAGCAGAAATTCGAGCCCGGGGATGGTGTCCTTGGATGGTGTCTGCATTGTCCTGGAGTGAGTCACTGGCTATTGTCAGGCCTCTTCCTGACCCTGCCACCTGTGAGGCCTCCCTAAGATCGTATAGGGGCCAGATCCAGGTCAAGGTCACACCTTGAGGTGGCCATCCTCTGGGGGTGGAGATCGTCAAGGGGCTTGAAGCTACTCAGCAAAGGTGGTGATCATTGCCTGACCCCCATTCCTCGGGGAGGGAGGGCTCTGGCCTTGTGTGCCATGTCCCCCTCCTTGCCCATTGCTCTCATTCTGCCTCACTGTAAGGTCCAGAGTGGGGAGGTGGATACAGCCTGGTCCTCTGCTCGGCATGCTCCTCTGGGGTGTGAGTTAATCCAATGGTGGTCCTTGGCTTGGGAGGAAGATTCCCACACCCAAAGTATGAGGGGGTGTGGCATTAGGAGAGATAAGAACTGGCTCCACTCTTTCACAACTATCTCCATCACCCCCTCCTGGTCCCTGCTGGGAATAGGGTGCTGCATGGAGAAGGGTGTGAGTGGTGCAGGCCACCTGTGATCCTGCTGCTCAGAGAGGGCTGAGGGAGCCTCTCAATCGGCTCCTGAGGGCCTGGGGAACAGGAAGCAGCTAGTCTACACCAACTGCCCTCCTGACCGAGGAGAGGAACTAGGTGAGAACACAGGCTGCTGTCAGGGGTCTCCAGGGGCCACAGCCAGTGTCCTCCCTCCTGCTCCCTTCCCCTTGTCCCTCACCTTGGCCAGAGACAGGACGATGAAGGCACCCCCACCTCCAGCCTCCACAATAATGGCCAGAAATTTGGGGTTGACGGCACAGAAGGAGCTGTCCCATGTGACCTTGGACACACGGATGTCCTCGTAGGCCTGGTCAGCCTTTGCCGCCTGCCCAAACACATGGCGGAACTTGCTCTGCCGAACCACACGCCGGCTCATGGCTGGGGGCAGAGATGGAAGATCTCGGTGCCCAGAAATGCCTTTCTTTGGTCCTTAGTCCTGTGAGCTGTGGGAGGGAGGAAGAGTGGAGGGTGCAAGTGAGACGGGTTATCTGGCCAGGAGTCAGGTATAAACTCATGGAGCATCTGGACTTAGAAACGGGGAGCTGCTTCAAGGTGATGAAAGCATGGGGAAGTCCTCGGCCACCTAGAACGTGCTGTTTAACGGGAGGGGCCTTAGAGAGAGACCCAGGACAGTGGAGTCTGACCAGGCCGGAAATCTCCTGAAAGTTTCAGCCGCGTTGGGAGAAGCCTCAGAGCGAGGATGCCCTCCCGCTGCAGCCCCGATGAGCATCACTTAACTCAAGTGGTTTATCCCCCGGAGGCACCTTGTCCAAAATCAGAGACCTTGGTCCTTGGATCTTAGCTCCAGACCAGCTGTGGGTCCTTAAGGGTTGCCCCTCAAAAAATTTGCGAAGAAGTTCCCGCGTCAGCTAACCTGAGTCCTGCTGCTGCCGGTTTCTTCGGTCTCCTCCGGGGCTGCCGGGGGAGGGGGCAGGCGCGCAAGGTGCTCTCTCCGGCCTCCCCTCCGCGCCCCGCCTCCAAAGGGTTCTGGCTTTGCCTACCCCGCTTCCGCCCAGCTGCGCCTGCCTCCGCATCGCCTCTCCAAGGAACTCTGTTGGGGGTGGGGTCCTCGGGGTCCCCCCAACCTCCTCCGCAAGAATGGCGGGGGTGAGGAGGGTCAGGTGCCTATTTTCCGGAGGGTCAGGGCCTGTCCTTCGCCCCCCCCCAGGGGACCCCAGAGCTCTTCCAGGGCCCCAGCCGCTTCTGGGCACCCTGACTTCTGCCCCTCCCCACTCCTGGGTATCCCTGTGCCCTTCACGCCGCTCCTGAGGTCCCGGGCCTGAGGCCCGGCCTCCCCGCACCCTCCTCCGGCCTCTCGGCCCGGCGCTGCGTTCCTGGGAGACGAGGCGTCTGCGCCCGGCGGGCTCCCGGGCCGCTCTCCGGCCAAATATAGACACCGAAGTCCGCCCCGCCCGGGACCGAATTTGGCGGCGGCGGGGGGCGGGGCGCAGACCCCCGTCCGCTCCAGAGACCCCCGAGACCCCAGCCGCTCCGCCGCGACGGGGGCGCGTGTGTGGGAGAGGAGGGTCGAGGGGGGCGCGTTACCTGGTCCCGAGCAGGGAGGGGTGCGCTCCCGCCGTGACTCCTCTGCGGAGAGGGCTGGGGGCGCGCGGGGGGCCGAGGGCGGCGTCAGGGCGCCAGAACCGCCGCTCCCGGGGCCCGCCGCGTCTGCAGCCCGGGCGTGCGCCGCGCTCTCCCGCCGCCGTCTGCGGCGCTCCCGGGCGGGCTCCGCTGCAGTCCCAGCTGCCGCTGCCATCAACCTGCGGGGGCGGGGCCTGGCGGGGGCGGGGCGGGCGGCCCCGCCCCCCCGGCGGCGGGAAAGTGGAGCGCGGTGGACGCGGGCGGCCCGCGGGCGGCGGAGCGGAGCCCCGAGCAGTCGCGCCGTCCGCGCCGGGGTGCGCCGGGGTGCGCCGGGGTGCGCGGGTTCCGGGCGCGCCGCAGGGACTGGGGCTGGGAGCCGGCGCCGCGCTAGGTCAGGGCTGCAGTCCCGGCCCCGGCCCGCTGCGGCGCACGCCCAAAGCAGGGCGGGCTGCGCGGGGGACCCCACGCCCCGACCCCCCTCGGAGGAGGTCCAGCAATAGGCTGGGGCAATCGTCTCAACTCGTGGATCAGGGCAGCTCCACGGGTAGCGGAAAAGGGACTGTGAATGGTACTATTATTGTTATTAATAGCGAGAGCAACCGTTTACCCTAGGAAGCCGCCTGAAGACGGGGCAGGAAGGTGAATTCACTTTGACCCCCTGGGAACACCAGGTTCCAGGGGAAGCAGCGTGCGCGGATTTTGAGACACGCAGCTGGACCCCTGAAGTGTTCGCATATTAATTCCATATCGGATGACGGCTTTCTGAGATGGGCACTGTTATCATCCCTATTTTACAATGAGGAAATTGAGACACAAAGAGGTTAAATAACTCTCCCATCATTCGACTGTTTGAACTGGACTCTACTTTGTTCCAGGGAAGCAACACTACTACCCCCCTCAACCCCCCTTCGGAATGTAAGTACTGACCAAGGTTAACGAGAGAAAAAGAAACCTGGTCAAAGTAGATCAGGTGCAGAACAGCTAGTCCCCGTAGCTGTTCTCTACCCAGCACCTGCCCACTGCCTGGATTTCTTTCTTTCCTTCTCAGGGCCCTTCCCACTCTCCAGGGCACACCCGGAAATCAAAGGGACACCGACTTCTGGCGGGCAGAAATCTACACTGGGGTAAAAGGGAGGGAAGGTGGTAGAACCTCCAAGGCTGTCACAGTAAAGCCCCTTTGTTCCTCAGGAAGAGACCACGTCTACGGTGGCTAGTAGGGGAATGTAGTACAACAGAAACAAAAACAAAAACAAACCAAAATCCAACAACTGCTACAGGTGCTCCAGAAACAATTTGTGACATTGGGGGTAAGTGGTCAGGAGGAAAAAGGGTTTCTCTTTTACCTAAGATTCTAGGCACATGATTAAGAGGAAAAGACCTGAGTAACTCAGTTGCTCCCTAATAACAATAACTCACCCTTATTTTGTTCCAGACACTGTACTAAGGGCTTTACACATATTAATTCCATATTTGATAACAGCCTTCTGAGATGGGTACTATTACTCCTATTTTACAGATGAGGAAATTGAGGCACAAAAAGGTTAAATAACTCAACTTACTCAACTGGCAGTAGATGGAGCTGAGATTTTTTTATCCAGGTGTTCTGGTATCGGGATCCATGCTTTTCAGCACCATGCATTTATTTCTGCTTCTCCTTGAAGGACAGTGCCACTTTATCTCACAAGTGCTGATATTGAGAGTTATACTTTGTGGCCCAGTGGAAAGGATGCCTGGACTAATTAGAAAACTGGGGTTCTAGCCCTGGCTCAATCATTCTTTTTTTTTTTTTTAAGATTTATTTATTTATGCATACAAGAGCTGGGGTGTTGGGCTTCCCCTGGTGGCGCAGTGGGGTTGAGCGCTGGGCTGTGAGGCTGCCCGCAGCCTCTGCAGCGCCGATTCCATCCCCGGCCGCCAGCGAGGGTCCCGCATGGCGCGGCGCGACAGACCTCTCCTGCCACCCGCTGCTCCCCTCAGCAGTGTATTTTGTCAGTCTGCCTGCTCTGCTCTCCCCTCTGGCTCTGGTGGATTCTCTCACCCTCCCACGCTTCTGACTGTACCCAGTGCTTGTATAAATAAATAAATAAATAAATAAATCTTAAAAAAAAAAGAGCTGGGGTGCAGGCCAGAGATGCGGGGGTGGTGGTGGTGGTGGTGATGGTGGTGGTGAGAGGATTCACCAGAGTTGGGAGCAGAACCGGCAAATCTACTGAAATACACTGCTGAGGGGATCAGCAGGCGAGACAGGAGAGGTCTGCCACACCATGTGGGTCACCTTCCTGGCTGGGAATCGAACTGGTGCTGCAATGGCTGTGGATAGCTTCATAGTGCTGCCTCTCAACCCCTTGAGCCACAATGGGGGCCCCTTAGTCATTCTATTTTTGCAGCTCTCTGGTTTGTGAAATGAAGAGGGCTGTGTGAGTTTCTTTCAAACTCTGTACCACTTGTTGACAGAGGAGCTGCATCCTCTGCAGCATTTTTCCATCCCCTGCCTCCCTCACCTTTAAAAAGCTAGGAACTAGGGCCTCCCTGATGGTGCAAGGGTTTAAGCACAGCACTATGAAGCTATCCGCAGCCTCTACAGCATGAGTTCGATCCCCTGCCAGGGAGCTAACCCACAAGGTGCAGCAGACCTCTCCTGTCTCACCCGCTGCTCCCCTCAGCAGTGTATTTCAGTAGATCTGCCTGTTCTGTTCCCCACTCGGTCTCTGGTGAATCCTCTCACACCTCCGGCCTGTACCCCAGTTCTTGCATGCATAAATAAATACATCTTTAAAAAAAGAGCTAGGAACTAGAGGAAAGGGTGCTGGACTAGAATGCAGGAATCCTTCAGCTCATCCCACCTTCATTTCCATTATCTGGGAAAGGGGATGCTCCTCAGGTTACAGCAGCAGGGATTCCCAGGGATTGCTTGGTCCCCAGCGCGGCTCAGTGCTGCCCTCTATAGTGTCCTTCAGGCTGCCAGGGCCTGGCTGAATTGTAGGTGGGCGGAGCCAAGCTAGAGTCAATCAGCGGAAGAAGCCACTTGGGCTTGGTGCTTACCCAACTGTTAGCTGGGCTCCGAGCTGCAATCCCTAGAGACAGACATGGATTTCATCACTCACAAGGCTGTCTTCTCGAGAAGGTGGGCTGGCAATTTAGACGTGATGTGGGCACCCCGAGCATATTTTGTGAAAGATCTAACCTTCACCATCATGCACTCACACTCCAGCCAGACAACAGTGGCCTCCCCTCCCACTCGAGAGGCATGATTTAGAATGAAGATGACTTAACAGCTCAAGGCAGGGTTTTCTCCAGAAACCAGGAAATTGTTTTGCTATCAATTTGAAAATTGAAAACTTAGCCTTCCCTAGATAGCAGTGTTGCCTTGTATGTGATGAATGGTACCACTAAGAATCCTCCTGGGTTTGTGGAGGGGTGAGAGAAGTGGGGAACGCCCCTTCAGCCCCCCAACCTGGTTTTTTTTTTTCTTTTACTTATTTATTTTTTAAAGAGGAATGTATTATTTATTTGCTTATTTGTTTGTTTATACATGCACTGGGTACAGTCAGAGGCACGGGAGGGTGAGAGAATTCCCCAGAGCCAGAGCGGGGAGCAGAGCAGGCAGAAGGACCGAAGCACACTGCTGAGGGGAGCAGCGGGCGGCAGGAGAGGTCTGCGCGCCATGTGGGACCCTCCCCGGTGGCCGGGGAGCAGCTGGGGATCGAACCGGCGCTGCAGAGGCCACGGGCAGTTTTGCAACCCAGCGCTCTACCGCTGCGCCACCGGGGAGGTCCCCCCCCCCAACCTGTTTTAGAGAACTGCCTGTTGGCTCCTCCCCCACCCCTTTCTCCACCACTAACACCATGTTTCTCTCCTAATGGCTGAGGGAGAGGGTTAAAGCTTTCACTTCTTGGGAAAGCCATGTCCTGTTTCAATAAGGAAAACTTTCCTTGAGCTGAGGTGCTTGTATTAAGTTTGCGAGCTCTCGCTCAGTAATGTCCAGAGAGGTCACACGCCCAAGAAATCCAGTCCCCGTCGGGAAGGTCACAGCAGCTGTCCCAGAGCAGTCACTCTGCACCACAGATGGCAGAGGAATTTGGTTCCTTTGCTTATTCATTCTCCTAACATTAAGGTGGTGGCTTTGGCAAGGGCTCTTTTTGACCAGGCAAGCTCTCAGCTTGGTCATTTGATCGGAGCCACGCTGTCTGAAATATCTGTAGTGATCTTATTTCCCAGTCTTTATTTTGTGGGAAGTAGAAAGTTTTATCTTTTTTTTCCCCCTCAGAGCTCAGCTATGATTGATGGAGGTCAGTCAATGAGAATTGCTCCATGCTTACCATGAGTGTTCTCTTCTAATCCCCCCACCTTCTCCAGTATCGCCCCCCCCTTGTTGCATTTTATCAAGTACACGTTTCATCTTCAAAATAAAAATTTATTCAGTCTGTAACAAGAACATTGAATCTGCACATTTGCGCACAAGTTCACATTTAAAAACAGCTGAGCACATCAGTAATAAAAAAAAACCTATGATACAAGTGGAACATCCCAACCACCGGGAAGATTAAGGAAGGAGATGAGACCACTCTTTATATTCTGTTTCAAATGCCTCAAAAAGGTCCCAGAGATTTCAGGGAGCACCTGCTTTAATAAAATATGAGCGTAAAAGTTAGGGGTGGCCTGGGGCAAAGGTAACAGTCAGTGGGAAAGTCTTTTGGACTTGCCTTCCACATTTAGAACAAGTCCTACAAAGTAAAGTAGAAAGAAAAAAAAAAAAAAGGCACCTTAAGCTATGCCAAGCAAACCAAAATCCAATGAAACAAACCAAAATCCAAACAATTCTCTGCGGGCTTATTGATTTGGAAACATTTCAGAGCTGGTTCCCCAGGTTTCACATGAGTAATCAGCTTGAGTTGAACCCTGGACATCAGCTCTGCATGTGCACACAGGATGCTGCCATTAGTGTCACTGTGAGGGCACAGATGGCAGCACGAGTCATATGCCCCTTGGGGGAATCTTCAGGCTGATGAGGGATGATTCCAGTTTAGAAATCCTGTCCTAGATCTCTGGGGTACTGAGAAAATGAGGCTGGTTCACCTTCCAGTGACCTTCCACCTTCAGGCTAGAAAAATACAGAAGCACCTCACAATCGCTCTCCATGGCATCAAGGGACCACGCGCCCTGGGGGAAGGGTTAGGAGTGTGCAGCTTCCTGCTGTGGTGGCAGGCTTTTTCCTAGTGTGGGCATTCAATGAGTTGAGGCAGCAAATACATTTATGCCTAAGACATGCCTGATTTTTTAGTTTGAAAGGGAAAACAAAGCCCAAGATGCTTTTAAGTTAGATTGGTGCTAAAAGGGCTAACATTTCATCTCAACTACCATCAAAAAGCAAAACAAAATTTAACAAAAATGACACTAGTCATTCACCATAAGCCATCATTATAAGACACACCATCACTGAGGAAATGACGACTATTTCCATACAGAGTGCTGGCTGGGAGCGCAGGGCACAGGTGGAGGTCAGCTCCAGGTTTTACCCATTTACCTGTGAGGACTGACCATCTGGCCTTGCTCTGTGTAGGGACTCACAGGACGCCAGGGCCAGGTGATGGAGCAGGAAGAGATCGAGTGGCTGTCAAGATGATGCACGTTTTAATACTCACAATGTAAACAAAGTATCCACAAAGAGTTGTCCAAAAAAGCCAAAGAATGGCTTTATTTAAAAAATTTTAAATGCCCTTAAAAGTGACCCTTTTTGCATAATGCTTGCTTTCTTGAAAAGAAGAAAAAGAAACAACTCTCACAAAAACATTTTTACCAAGCATGCGTAGATCACTTCAGAACTGAAATCCTCACAGGGAACAGGGGAAGATTCCTGTCAGCTGCTCCGTCTCAGAAGCCTCAGGTCTACCCAATGGTGTCTGCCTGGGCCCTTCAGCAGGAGGGGACCTCAGTGCCTGGGCTGTCTATGCTCAGGCTCATCCTTGGTAGTTCCCAAAGTGAGGAAGAGGAAATACCAATTGGGGTAAAGGTACAGAAGCAGGAAAATACTAAAGAGCCTGAAGAAGAGGCTGGAATACTAGGAGTGATGCTAAACATTCAGAACCTGAGAGGCAACTGAAGTGACGAGAGATGACTGTTACTTTACTACAGTACTACAAGTCGACTATAGTATACACCACCCCTAAATGTTTCTAAAATCAAGAAGAGGTTGGGTTTTGTCTCCTTCCTGCTGAACAGGTAACCATCCAGATTACAGCTCAGAACCTGTGTGCTCCTGGGCCTTTTACCCACACACCAAAATGTTACTCTTTTACACACACACTCTTTCTCCTCCAGAGTAACCGAGAATTAAACCATGATGGTGGTTTTCAAAAGAATGACAGCAGCACTGAGCAAGAGATCCAGGCTTTTCTTAATTATCTCCGTCAATCTACCACATCGCTGTTCCCAGACTGGGTTTTCCGCAAACAGAAAAGAGAAATAAGCCACTGAGATTATCAAAAATTTGAAGAGAAGAAGAAAAGTCTGAAAAGTCCTCTGTTGCTTACTGTGCACTTCTCCTGAACCATGCTCGGCTCTGTAAATAATACAAGTATACCCAGTTGTGGGAGTTTGGGAAGGCTGGCAAAACCCCATCACATCGCTGAATCACAGATACTCCATAGAGGATAATTAGGCAGGTAAATTAAATGATAAAAAAAAATGTAATTAAAAAAAGGAAAGGCAGAGCAAGACTATTTCCTCACTTTAAAAAAAGAAGCTTGCTTTTCTTCACAGCATTAGAGGGTTTCCTCTCCATCCTTTTATTTAATGCTTTAAAGATGAACATTAAACACAGTGGCAAGGAAGAGAGAACAGTGAAATACTGCCGATGCTCCTTACACTTAACGGGAGGGATGCCACCATCTCAAGGGGTTGCTATGAGTGGATACCACTTTCTTAACCTCCACGCAACTCTTCCTCTCTCCACCTGTCTTGATTTCCTGCCCCTTCCCCATCACATTGCCTCCTGTTGTCTTGCTTCAACAACACAGGGCAGCTGACATGGATGAGCGCTGGAAATTCATAACCCTGTCTAGCAAGGCTCCTCACACGGGTACGTACCACCTAACAAAACACTGTACAATACATTCAGTAACCAGGAATCACAAAGCTGTGTGGATGTTACATCTCTGAACATTTATGGAAACTATTTAGGAACAGCACAGATACAAATACTTATCCTAGACCAAAAGACACTTCTAGCAGGTTTCTGTCTAACGTGCCTCCTGGCAGTGATGTCAGATGCAACCTTGGCTTCCACATGTGCCTATGAGTGGCCTCAGTCCGTATTTTCCCTCTTCTTTGGGTTACCCTACCGCCTGCCCCCACCAAACTCTGGTCTCTGACATCACCTTGACAGTCTATGCATTTGTCAGTGCTGGGATGAACCAAAAACCTAAATCTTCAGTCCGTACTTGGTCAGTCCCTCAGCAATGTGGACATCAACTAATGCAAGCAGGAAGCAAATTTGCAAACCTCTTCAGATTTGATGAGCTGAAGAGGGTGTTTTATTCCAGACTAAATACGTTTTCTGTAAGGAGCTAAAACAGGCTTATTTATGGCAGGGGTCCTGTCTTAAGGATCTCCACAATAGCAGCAAAGCAACAGTATCCTAAGTGGAGTCATCGAGGGTACCTGTCCTTGGCTGAGGCCTCCCCGCAGCCTCCATTAGGCGTTCTCTCCCTGGCCGTGGTTCAGCTACTGGCAAACAACTTTCTGGAATTTATTCTCAAAGAGAAATCAGTCTTTAGTCAAAATGATCTAATGGGAGCTTTTAGGAATTTCTCTGAGGAGGAAGTTATTTGCACAGAATTTGGCAGGAGCTAAGGATCAGAAGTCTCCATTTAAACAATTAAAACCACCCATCAATACACTTTGCAGATTCCTACCAACACCCACCAGGGTTATTTCTGCGGTATCTGTGTGTTTTCCAGTTGCAGCTTTACACTTCTGAAAGAAGATATATCAAAAGACCCTACAACATCAAAACATTGTAAGAAAGTGACATTATGTACATAAATACTGTGTATAAACTGGAAAAATGATACATCTTTCAGGAAAAGAAAGGAAAATAAACTATGTCAAGTGTTAACAGTGATAATATTGAAAAGAAGACTTTGCATTCAATGGAGGTTATACATATGTAAAGTAACAATTCAAATATCTATGACGTTAAACCAAACAGGCAGCACTAGGGAAAAATGGCACAGAGGGCGGAAAATAAAATGGAAAAAAAAACATGCCCATTAAACTCAGAAGGCCCAAAGAATTATTCAAGTAATGGGAGAGTAAGACCCTACATATGTATCCATTTTACAAGAACACATTGACTTTCAATTGCTGTTTTTCAATTGTGCCTGTTGCATTTTAGGTGGGAGGACCACAGAGCACATTTCCAGTCAGGAAGAGCTGGGACCATCACCGAGGTGGCGTCCACAGACCAGGAAGATAACAGACAGTGGCCTCTATCTATGCATTCACTTCCTCCTATTATGCTTTCATCCTTTCCAGAGGACCTCTCAAATTTCATTTGGGGTTCATTTTCAACTCAATAAAAAATTATCTGCTTGGGGAAAAACTATTTTTTGCTTGGGAGGTTTATAAAGCCCACCCATAAGCATGTCTTTCTGTAATGATACACTCTGGAATGCTGTAAGAAATGAATTCTAGAAGAACCTCTTTTAAAGCAAAGCAGAACCTGCCCACTTCTGGAATTCCAGCGGGCTGGGACTGGGGGCAGAAGGCTGAGTGTGCTCTGAGGTGCTGCTGCCCTCTGGACCATCCAATGCATCAGGTCTGGAAACCCAACCATCATCACACTGTCCCGAGAGGGCATTGCCAATTTCTAGCTTCATGGCCACCCTGCGCACGTGCTTCCTTCCTCAGCCCTTCCTTTTCTCAGAGGGCAAAATGAGGAAGCAGGTGGCAGTTGACTGAAAAACAGCAATTTGCCTTTGATAAAAGGTGTTCCTTGAAAATGAGTGATTTTTTGAGGTTTGAATTTTTAAAAAATAACAAATGAGAAAATGGTCTTGCTATCCGAATCTCTCTCTCTCTCTCTCTCTCTCTCTCTCTCTCTCTCTCTCTCTCTCACACACACACACACACACACACACACACACGAAAAAACCCAAACCCTGCATGCGCCAAGAACAGTAAAATGACCAAAATATTATAAAATTAACCAATAAAGTGCATGTTCCTTACATATTACACCTGCCCCTTTTACAAACATTTCTTTTAGAAAGTCACATGTGTAGGCTCAGATCACATGGTATTATAGAAGGGGTTGGTTGTCCGTTTTTTGTCATTTGCCTTTTTCAGTCTCCGAAGCGGGTGAGTTCTGCCATGCTGTTGACGGGGCGCCACCGCCAGCTCTGGAGCTGGGCCTGCACAATGCAGTACCTGGGTCTGTAGCAAAGGAAGGCCTCCCTCAGAACTAGTCAATTCAGGTCCTGCCCTGGGGAGCAAACACTGTTGACTGTAACCAAATTCTTTGGCATACTGTACAAGGGGTCTCTTCACTGGCTTGCTCTGCACGATACACTCTGTTGTTTTGAGTTGCTCTACAAAATACTTGGTAGGCTCTGGGTTCTGGGGGACATTTGGGTTTTCTGGGGGCCCCTGAACCTCCATGGAGTGCATGCCTGAGTCCGTTCTGATGAAAGGCTGAAGCAGTTTGAGATGAGGGGACTCAGAGGAGACAGGCTCCCTCTCTGGTAAATAGTCTTTACAGAGGTCCAAGTAACCTAACTTGGCAAGGGAAGCGGAACGCCTCATTTGGGATGGTTTGGTGGGCACTGCCTGGCAAATCACTCGTGACTCAATTTCTTTAGCACGCTCCTTCACCACACCTGGGCTGTGGCTGAGTCCCTTTATATTGTCACTACTAGAGCTATGTGGGAGTCGACAGGTTACGGAGGATGGGTCTGACTTTACTTCTAAGTCCCCAGAGTTGTCACCAAGTTTGCTGATCAAACCTAGGTCTTCACTAGTTAACTCAGAGCCCTTGAATGGCATTTCTTTGCCACTGGAGAGGGTGCCCTCCTGACTTTCTTCCCAGCTACCCCGCTCTGCAGAGGGCTCATTTTCTGTGGTGCTGCTTTGCTCTGTGCAGCCTTCCAGGTGAACAACAGTCTGGGGATTCAGGTAATCCAAGTTGGCAGATGGCACATGGGATGTGTGACTGACAAAAGGTGCCACTGCCTCCCGGGCCACAGAAGGTCTGTTGCTGCAGTCTCCAGGAAAGCCCGCGGCGGAGGTCAGGTTGGTGGGCCTGCTGTGCTCAGGAGAGGATGAATGAAGCAGAGGAAGGACTTGGGGGTACAGAGAAACCTGCTCAGGGCCCAGAGTCCTGTTCAGATTCTCATCCAGTGCGCAGAGGACAGTGATGGTCTTCTCCACTTTTACTTTCCTCAGTGCTTGCTCCTCAGTCTTTTCACTGGTGGCGATTTCACCCCCTGGTCCAGTGTGATCGGGCGATATAACTGTGTGGGTAAACTCAATAATTTCTATCTTCTTGGGAAGGGAAAGAGGGAAAGCCTGTGTCTCAGATTCCTGGCATGAAACCACAGTCTTCTGCTCCTTCAGGACTACATCCTGCTTTGTTCTAATATCTAACCTTGGGCACTCCTGAGGAGCTGGCAAGTGGTGAAGTTCCTGCAGCTGGGGTGCTGGAACAATGGTAATTTGCTCAGAATGGGGTAGTGGACTAGTCTCCACCCCACAACATTTCTCTTTGCCCTTGTTCATCTCTGTTTCCTTGGGGTCAAATGACTGTTCTAGAGTGACTTCATCATTCTTCCCTTTTGGTGCTAGGTCTGCCACAGAAGAATCATTCTTGGAATTCTTGCGAGTAGACAACAAGGTACAAGCAGAGGCAGCACCATGGTGCTCTTGTTCCTGCCGCAAGCGCTCCTCAAACTCCAAGGTGGCTCGCCTTACAGACCCAGGGCACCACTTGGCACTTGGGGGTATCCCTGGGCCCCAGGGCTCTTGTTCTCCCTCAGCTGGCTCCTCTTCTTCCAAGTCTGCGGTAGATGAGTATATGGTTAGGCAGCTTTCTGGGTCCCACTTCCCTGAATCATTGGCTGGTTCAGGCTGGACTGTGTAGGAACCCTCATTCTGCTCCAGATTTCCAGATTTGTTCTCCAGGGTCTGGGGCCTCTCAAGGGGCACCTCATGCATGGCATTCTTCTTTGGTGTGTGGCATGGATTGGACAGGATATCTCCTTTCAGTTGAATCTGTCCAACTCCTTGACTGATGGATTCAATCTCAGTGACAATTTCTTTGACTGAAATTGCATTTTCTGAGTGAGACTGCATGAAGATGTCAGGGCTGACCAGTTCTGAGATTGCCTAAGAAAATAGTGAGATGGTTATGGCAAATTGTAGTCCAATGAAATATGCCAGATTTTTTGCTTATTAATCTTGTGATCTAAGAGAACCTATCTGGCTATGAGGATACAAATCACAGAGTGCCTTGGACCACTCTGTGCCTGGGACTGTACTCTGACCATCTGTTTTGTTATACAAGAAAAAATGGATTTATCAAAGGCAGCTCTATACAAAATTACTTACAGATTGTCTACTATATTTCTGCTCTGTTTACTTAAACAGGATTCCTCCAATCTAATATCTTGCTCTCAAAATGAGTAGTAGGGGCCTCCCTGGTGGAGGGGTTAAATCTCAGCACTACCACCTCTAGGGCCTGAGTTCAATCCCTAACCAGGCAGCTAACCCACATATGGCACAGCAAACCTCTCCTGCCTCGCCTGCTCCTCCCCTTAGCAGCGTATTTCAGTCTATCTGCCTGTTCTGTTCCCCACTCTGTCTGGTGAATCCTCTCACCCCCTGCACTGGCCTATGCCTCAGTTTTTCTATGAAAAAAAAAAAAAAAAAAAAAAAAAAAAAAAGTAGCAAATAGCCTCAGAAGCTCCTATAATCCTTGTTTTCCCACAAGACCATGAGCCTTCAGGATTTAGACCATATGGGGAGAAATGAAACCTTTCTCCTCTGTCCTGTCAACTTCAGCTTGAACCTAACTTAGTTTGTGGGAAAGAGTTTCTCAAGGCCTCAGTGTTCACCTAGTTATGCTGATTGTTAGGGCAAGGTAGAGAAGGCTATCATCTGATGTCTGATTTAGAGATTCACTGCTTTCTTCTTTCTGCTGTCTCATCAGTTTTTTTTTTTTTTTATAAAACACTTTATTTATTTTTTAAAGATTTATTTATACAAGCACTGGGTACAGTCAGAAGCGCGGGAGGGTGAGAGAATTCACCAGAGCCAGAGTGGGGAGCAGAGCAGGGAAAGGACCGAAGAACACTGCTGAGGGCAGCAGCAGGCGGCAGGAGAGGTCTGTGCACCATGTGGGACCCTCCTCTGGTGGCCGGGGAGCAGCCGGGGATAGAACCGGCGCTGCAGAGGCTGCAGGCAGCTCTGCAACCCAGCGCTCAATCGCTGCGCCACCGGGGAGGCCCTGTCTCATCAGTTTTTATCCACATTCTCTCACTGCTTCTCTGAGCAGCAGTATCCCAGTACATTGAAGGCACCTGATTTAACCAAATAATTCCTAAGTTTCATGTGGCTTCTTCTAGGAAAAGCTTACTTGGTTTATGCAGCCAAGTGCCTGGGCAAACTTACAAACTGTGACACTCTCACATTTCACTGTTCTACCAGTTATGGATTTCCAGATGCAAAATCAAAATCTGGAAATGGCCCTTAAATCAGTGATATTATGGTCATTAATTTACTTAGACTGTTAACATTTTTTATTAGCCTTCAAAATACAGTATTTCCCTAGGAATTATTCTGGTCTTCCTTCTTCAAAAGAGACTCAGAGTTAGCACAAACTAACAAGGTCAGTTTTGCTTTTTGGGAAAAATCTGATGGGACATCAGGCAGAGGAGGCAAATTTGCCAAGACTTGGAGAGAATCAACAGTGGACTGGAGTTTACACCAGCTGTGGAGGGAGTGCTCATATGACCAAGGACTTTGCAGAAAAGCTATTTCTGCCAGAGCTGCTATAGTCATTTGTTCACAGAAGAGCTCGGCATTCTGATTTCCCAGCAGACATGAACCACAGGCAATGACTGCCCTGATGTAGTTAAGGAGAGAGAGAATAGATGATTGCTCATGGTAAAGATAAACAGATAGACATCAGGAGACATCAAGAATCTAGTTAGGTCTGCTGACTTCACTAAATGAAGTTTGGTATGTTAAAGTAAATCTGTCATCATTTACTTCCCAAATATTGTTTAGTTTTAAAGATGCATCCCAATTTCGGAAGTGTCAAAATGAGAATAACTATGAGTGTCAGAACTGATGATACACAGTAATTCTTTCCTTGTTGAGATGGTTCATTAGAGCTCATGTACCACTGAGAAGAATCTTAGGATTCTGTCTGCTCTCAAATCACTTTCCTAAACCATCCCCTCAATTCTTGAATACCATGGGGTCTGAGCTGAGGAACAGTCTAGAAACATTATTAACAGTAAGAACTTGGTATGGGAATCAGCTGCTACTCCAACAACATTTCTAGTCTTTGATTTTCTAAGAGAAAGAATTTTCCAAATTCATTTTACTCAGGTGGTGCTTGAGTCCCTGGTGAGATTCGATCTAAACTGCAGAAGTTCCAGGGAGGGAAGCTCTCCTTGTTTAGCAGGGACATTTGTTTTGGCTAATCCCCCTTTTCCTCATCCCTCTCAGAAGCGCTTCCAATGACACTGAAAAAAACCTGGCAAGATAAATTCTTCGAAAGGCTCCGGATTTATTTATTTATTTATTTATTTATTTATTTTTTCTGAGTTAGTATTTTTAAAATTTTTTTTTACATTATAAATTTTATTTTATTTTATTTTTATTTTTTTATTTAAATTTTATTTTTATATTCCCCATACAATTACAACCCCCTAAAAGGCTACTGATTTAAACCCTAAGTTTTCAGGGAAGGACTCAGACTGTTTCTCCCAAACTGCCTTCCTAAATCTTTAGCAATATCAAAAATACAGTAAACATAGCAAATTCCCAAATATTTTGTCTTCAAAGAGAATTTCATTAGGTAGAGAACTGTAGTTTTTACCTTTGACTGTTCTTCATCTATTGAAGATTCTTCAGATGCATGGGGAGTATTACTCAAAGAGCTGCTTCTCTGGTCATCAGCTGTTACTTCAGAAGGGGCTACTTCTACCACGGAGAGTCTACAGCTCTCACTTCTTCCTCCACCTAGTTCCTCCATCCTTGAGTGGGAAAAAGTTCGGGCCCGGGTTTCTTGGGAAAGTTCTACAAACTTCTCTAGGGCACTAAAAAAATCAATACGATCTGTACTGAAATCTGAGACTTCAGTCTGGCAACTGGGTTGGGGACTTGGTGACTCAGGATCAGGAGACATGGGGAGGTCTTTTAGGCGAGTTGTCAATTCTTCCATAGGCAGTAAATGGACGCTCATGTCTGCTTTCAGAGCATCTGTCTCCAAATCTTCCACTGTTAAGTCTGGGAACTTGTTTGCCATTTCTGGGTCATGTCCAGGTTGGATTAAGGCTTTGGAGGCATGGCAGTTATCAAGAGGGAATTTTGATTCATTAAGACAACATCCTGATGAGCACCCATTGATGTCATTTAGGTTCAATTCATCTTCGATCTGTCCAGCACGAAATTCCCTCGAAGTAAACTCCAAGCAGATCATTCTTTCTTTGGTATGCAGGCCTTTCTGATGTTCATCTTGTGGGACAACATGTTCCACAAAGACAGGAGGTATGGGTGGGTGACTCTCTATGGTCTTCACCTCAGTAATCTGGTCTGCTGAGGTGGTGATCTCCTTCTTGTTGAGTTCTAGTCCTGGTTTGCAGATGGGTTCGTGGTGATCCGAGAGGTCACTATCTGAATGAGATCTCCAGAGTTTGTTATGCCGCTGTTTGCTGTGGAGGAAATATACAGGAAACATCTTATTCTGGTTTGTGAAAATAATCAATACCCTCCCAGGAATCCCAGGTAAATTTAACTCTTAACCTGAAAAATTCTTTGTTTATGCTCTATGGAAGTAAGTAATAGACATGTGAAAAGATGCTTAATTAACAGCAAAAGAAAAAAAGCAAAACAACAAAAAGATGTGACTTTTACCTATAAAAATGCTAATACCCAACAGACCTAATAAATATTTGAAAAGATGCCCAATTTAACTAATAGCAACAACAACAACAACAGCAAAAACGAAACAACCAATGAGGATGAAATGTGATTTTTTTTTAACCTATCAGACTGACAGGAGCTATAATGGTGTTGACGATGGTATGGCCAAGCAAGCCCTCTTATACATTGTTGGTAGAAATGTGAACTACAGAATTTTTAAGAGTTAATGTGGCAATAGCTTTTAAAATTTAATCCTTTTAGTTGGAAATTCTTCCTTTAAAAATTTTCTTGGATAATACTATTTAACTGTGCAAAAAATACATATAAAGGGCCTCCCCAGTGGCGCAGGGGTTGAGCGCTGGGTTGCAAAGCTGCCCGCGGCTTCTGCGGTGCCGGTTCGATCCCCGGCTGCTCCCCGGCCACCAGAGGAGGGTCCCACATGGCACGCGGACCTCTCCTGCCGCCCGCTGCTCCCCTCAGCAGTGTACTCGGTCCTTCTGCCTGCTCTGCTCCCCGCTCTGGCTCTGGTGAATTCTCTCACCCTCCCGTGCTTCTGACTGTACCCAGTGCATGTATAAACAACAACAACAACAACAAAAAAACAAAAAAAAATACATATAAAAATGTATTTTATTACACTGTGGTACTAAAAATTAGATACCAAAAAAGGAGAAATATATTGAAATTAACTCTATACCTCTATATGTGGAGGCTGTTAAAAAAATTGGGTATTTCAGTGGAATGACATCCAAGATATACTATTAAAGGAAAACACATTTGGAGCTGTCAGTTCCCAGGTTAAATAGGAAAATATCTGGAGGAAATCACATCAAACTGTAACTGTGTTTGTTTCAAGGAATGCAGAAATGTTTTCAGGGAAGGCTTACCTTCCTATGCAGTTTTTGAGTTTTAACATAATAATAAGAAAAATAATCTAAAACAAAGTAACATTCAAATAATACAAAGAGAAATACTCTACTGGAGCTCATTATTGAAATGAAGAACTAACGTAGAAGTATTCACTGATGTGGAAGTGTGAGAAGGGCTGCTGAATTAGAAAGCAAAGATGAGGCAAGTAAATATGGGAAAAAAAGGTAAGGTAAAGGATAAACATAAAGCACAAGCCCCTTGTAGAAGGCTCATTAGATAAAAATCATCAAGGTAAGACGCATCTGGAAAAGAGGTAGGGCAAAGGAAGACCACACATATACACATTCATCCTTGGTTTCTTTTAGGAGAGAAGGTCTAATGTGGGGGTGAGATTTCATTTCAAACCAATCACAAACTAACAAAGAAGCAACTCCCCAAAGCCCCAGTCAAAAAAGAGAAAGGTGGACAGTGGTTGATCAGGATCACTTGCCTGAGAACAGCTCACTTAATGTGCTGTTTGGAGGTGCAGTTTCCACGACTCACAAGCTGATGAAGAGTTACCTAACTGTGGAATGGAATGGGAAGCTGCCCAAAACAGCAAGCCCTGGCGCAGGCTCAGCGCCACGCCTGCTCTGGCTGCCTGTGAATCTCTGCCGAGTCATGTGCCTGCACTAATGTGAACCCCTGTTTGTTCTCAACTCTGCACCTGCTCTCAGCTCCCCCCTGTCTGTCTGCTGCTTGGGTGGGGCTTTCTGACTCAGGCCTGAGGAGAAGGGTGCTTTTCCTGGCAGGGAGCGGGTCAATCTGTTTATGAAGACAAGCTGTAATCAATCAGCTGAGTGTAAGGTGGGATTTTCACCCCTTCCAAGCTGCACCAATTCTAGTCACCCCTAGGAGGAGACAACATATCACACATCCCAAACAAGTGAGCAGCTGTCGGGAGGGGCAAGCTCACTGGTTAGATAGGTGGGGCCTAAATTGTACATTATGGCTTATGTGTTTTCAAGTTTTCCCTTATGTCCAGAATACCTATATTTCCTTGTCGTAAACATGCCATTGAGCTCCAATTTCTATACCTCACTTATTATGAGGATGTTTATTTTTTATTTTTATTTTTTAAAGATTTATTTATTTATGCACAAAGATTTATTTATTTTGACTCTTCCTACAGTCCCTTCCTGATCCCCTCTTTCCTGCCTCCTATCCCCCCAAGGGATAACCACTGTCCTGAATTTTGCATGTATCATTCCCTTTCTTTTCTTTACAGTGTCATCTCATGTTTTGTTTTCAACAATAAATTGTTTAGTATTGCACATTTTAAATTTTATAGAAATGACATCATTATGTATTCTTCTACAACTGCTTTTTTTGCATAACATTAAGATTCAAAGATGTATGTAGCCGTAATTCATAGAGGATAAAGAACATGTCATAATTTATATATCCATTTTGTTGACAAACAGTTTCAGCTATTACAAGCAACAATGCCTTGGAAATTCTTTTTTTCTTTTTTAAAGATTTATTTATTCATGCATATAAGAACTGGGACACAGGCCAGAGGTGCGGGAGGGTGAGAGGATTCACCAGAGACAGAGTGGGGAACAGAACAGGCAGACAGACGAAATACACTGCTGAGGGGAGCAGCGGGCGAGACAGGAGAGGTCTGCTGCGCCATGTGGGATTCTTGCCGGCCGGCCAGGGATTGAACTCACGCTGCAGAGGCTGAGGACAGTGCCACCAGTGGAGGCCTGCCTTGGAAATTCTTGGGCCGGGGGTTACTTTGGTTTCTTAAAGATGTTATATACAGGAATGGAAAAGGTGGGCCAAATGGAGTCTGTGCATCATCAGTTTAACTCGGTAATTCTAAACTGTTTTACTATGAAGCTTTTCCCAAGCCAGTTTATTCAAATGCCCTATGACTAGCAGGAACAGATATAAGACATCAAATCACATCTATTATTTTAGACTAGTAATGTTCAAATTTAGCATATCTCCTCCCCCAGCCCACCACACCATTCACATAGGTAGCAAGTAAACATGTTGCTAAAAAGCGCTTCAGAGTTGGCTTGCATAATGTGTCCGGGAGTCTTCCCTTGCTTTGGTGGCCTCTGACTTGAATTTGACTTCACATAAAAACACAGATACACATGAGATGATCAGGCCATTCTGGTAAGAATTTGTCCTTTCACTTAGTAAATGAACAAGAAGGAAATCTAAATGACACGATGCATGCAATATCCCAGTCTTTTACCTCCACTTTCTTATTGTTATATGTTTGGTAAAGCACCAACTACAGGGACCTCCCTGGTGGCACAGGGGTTAAGGTATTAGCACTATCAAGTTATCAACAGCCACTGTGGCATGAATTTGATCCCTGACCAGGGAGCTGACCCATATGGCGCAGCAGACCTCTCTTGTCTCACCTGCTGCTCCCCTCAGCAGTGTATTTCAGTAGGTCTGCCTGCTCTGCTCCCCACTCTATCTCTGGTGAATCCTCTCTCCCCCGCACCTCTGGCCTACACTCTAGTTCTTGTATGCATAAATAAAAATAAATCTTGGGCCTCCTTTGTGGCGCGGTGGGTTGAGCGCAGCGCTGTGAAGCTGTCCACAGCCTCTGCAGCACAGGTTCAATTCCCAGCCGGCCAGGGAGATACCCACATGGTGCAGCAGACCTCTCCTCTCTCACCTGCTGCTTCCCTCAGCAGTGTATTTCACTCAGTCTGCCTGTTCTGTTTCCCTGCTCTGTCTCTGGTGAATCCTCTTACCTTCCCGCACATCTGGCCTGTACCCCAGCTGTTGTATAAATAAATCTTAAAAAAAAAAATAAATCGTTAACTAAAAAAAAAAGCACCAACAATATTGGAAAAGTTATATAGCGGATACTACTACTAAGAATGAAGTATCAGTTATAGTAAAATCAGATTATTTATGATCACTGAGGGTATTAGGCCACCTATAGAAAAGAGGGGGAAGAGAAAAAGCATCAACTGAGCATTTCCTGTGTGCTGTGTATGGTCCTAAATGTTTTAGTATTATTTCACTGAGAAACTATTAAGAAAACCCTTTAAATCTCAATTTTGATTCGTGTCACCTAACCACGAGTCCATGTCCTCTCACTCAGTCTTCCTCCTGCTAGCTAACCATTGTGTCCAGGCTAACTAGACTTTGTCTCCAACAGCAAAGCCAGGGTAAAAGACAAGCCTGGTCTTGGTGACAGGGGCATTCAAAGAATCAAAACTGACATCTATGAGGACATGTGGCATGAACTCTCCTTGGCCACCACCCAGTTTTTTTCCTTGCTCCCTATACACTGAAACCTAATATCACAGACACATGGTCCAGCTTGCAAATGCTTGACATCTGAACTTGTCTAATGGAACATAAATCTGCAGGATACCTGCATGAGCAGAGTGCAGAATAACAAACAGGGCTGCTGGCAGTTTAATAGACTGTTTCAACAAACATACACCTCTCCTCCTGCCTTGCTCCCATCCTCCAGCTATAAAAGCAGAAAAAAAAGTGGTATCAACAAGATCAGTGGCTTTATGATACCCTCTTTTTTAGGTCTAAAGGATGACATTAAATACGAGCCTTCCCCAGGCTCTTAAATATGACAGAAGATGTAAAAAGTCCCTTGTATTTCAGAGGGGCTGCCACACCCTCACATTCTGATTAAGAGTGTAAACAATTCATAAATCACTAAAAGATCCTATGTCATTTTGGTAAACTTTTCTTCTACTAAGGTCAAAGTACCAAAGTAATACTCTATATAAGAGGGCTGTCTCCTTAAGTTAAATAAAGCTAGAGAATGCTAGGATTAGCGCTCTCTGAGAAAACCACCACATGCTTCCTGGGCAGGTTCCAACAGACATACCCCTGGACAGGAAATGGAATTTCTCTGCAAACAGAATGAATGGGA